GGTCTTATTAGCGCGCCTAATTGAATCATCAGAAAATCTCTTCATTTCACGAAAAGCCAGTCCATGTTGGACAGATTCGAGTATTGTGCTTGCTTGGTTAAACAAGCACCCATCTCATTGGAAAAACTTTCGTCTCGCATCGCGTAAAGAGATTCAAACACGAGTTCTGATGGCATTTGGCATCATGTCAGTACACATTGAAAATCCCGCTGATGTGCATCTCGCGGTTTACTCGGCACAGAATTAAGCGCCTTCGACATTTGGTGGCGCGGACCTTCATGGTTGAGTCTAAAACAGGATGATTGGCCCACATTCACAATAACGCCGATAGACGAAACACAGTTAGAAGAAAAAACCGTGTCAAGGGCATCAAGTGAACGCTAATGAACCGTGGAATCTCACTACTCGATATTCATGGTGGCCCAAAATGATACGTATTACCGCCTACATTACCGTTTCATAAGGAAGTGTAGAAAGAAAAAAAACAATAGGATCGAACAACAAGTCTCAATATCACGCTCTTACTACAGTTGATTCAACGAAGCACGAAACTTCTGGGTGAACTTCATTCAGTAGAACTATTCGAAAACGAGCTCCATAATTTAAAGTCAAACAAACCGTTGCCTACTCACAGTCCAATTCTCTCATTAAATCCGTTCCTGGATTCTGACGGTCTAATTCGCGTTGGGGGGCGATTAGAACACTCGTCATTATCTTTCCAGTCCAAGCATCCAATCTTATTAGCCAAACCATACGATCACTACCATGATCATCCGTTATACGCATGTTGTATCTCTCCATGCCGGTCTTCAATCCACTCTTTCAAAACTTAGACAGAGTTTTGGATTTTGAGGAGGCAAGAAGTCTAGTAAAGTCGGTTATTTATAAATGTTCGTTTGTGTGACAAGAGAAAGGCTCAAGTAGCTAGTCAGCTGATGGGCCAGCTACCTACAAGTCGTGTTTCGGCGCCCTCTCGAGCGTTTCTACATAGCGGTGTCGACTACGCCGGACCAGTCTTTACACGTGCTTCAGCCGGCCGAGGAATTACCTCGCGAAAGGCCTACATAGCACTCTTTATTTGTTTAGCCACACGCGCTATTCATCTCGAACTGGTTAGTGATTACTCGACTGCTGCCTTTCTTAACGCTTTTCAAAGATTTTGTGCGCGACGTGGATTACCAGAGGTCATGTACTCGGACAATGGTACTACGTTCGCAGGAGCAGACAAGGAGTTGTCGCAAGCGTATCGAGACGCTCAAAGCGATGTTAACTTTCTCAACTTCATCGTGTCAGATAACATCACATGGAGTTTTATCCCTCCCCATGCTCCACACTTCGGTGGATTGTGGGAGGCAGGGGTCAAAAGCGTTAAATACCACCTTCGTAGGATATTAGGAAATCACACCCTCACTTTCGAGGAACTTACTACCGTGCTTTGTAAAGTTGAAGCATGCTTAAATTCAAGGCCCCTGTGCCCATTGACTGATTCGATTGACGATTTTGAAGTGCTCACTCCGGGTCACTTTTTGATTGGATCGGCAATCACAATCAATCCAGAACCTTCTGTTCTGCAAATCAATGAAAACAGACTGTCACGGTGGCAGTAGTTGTTGCGACAGATCACGGAGCGTTTTTGGAAGCATTGGCACGCCGACTATATTAACACGCTTCAACAGCGAACTAAGTGGCGAAAGGCAAAGTCACTTATCCATATCGGTTCCATGGTTCTGATTCAAAATCCTCTTCTTCCTCCTTGCAAATGGGAACTCGGACGCGTAATCCACTGTCAACCAGGCTCTGACGGATTAATTCGAGTAGTTCCGTCAAAACAGCGAACTCGGAATATAAAGCGTCCCATAACTAAGTTGTGTGCTTCCAATCGACGTTGATTCTGACGATTCCATCGAGGATCAACCTCGAGTGTCAAGCAATTAGCGATAATTCTAGTGTAAGTTAATTATACGATTCTAATTCTAATTACGTTATAATTATGTAGCAAGTAAGTCAAGTTTATGTTCATTAGTTAAGTCAAAGCGTGCAAGTAAAGTCGCCAAGGCGGGCGGCGCGGCGCTTGCAATCCTAAGTTTAAGGTCGTGCGAATTAGTACGAACAGCGGATACTGTTGTTACGCGATCTGCGTTAAATGTTAAAATCCGTCCGCGATAACAACAGTGATCTTTAGAAGTCAACTTTAAGTCAATATTGTCAGCCGTTTCAGGTCTACAATTTCACTTTAGTGCGATCTGAGCGTAATCAGAAGTACATCTCAGTATCTTATATATTGCATGGGATCAATCGTGACGAACAATCACACGCAATTAGTTTTCATTTAGCAAACCTCACTCACACGGGAGTGAACGATTGCATCCTTGTGTAAGGTATACCGCGAGATCGAGTAGTTCGAAATTCAAATTTCGAGGCGGGCGGTATGTTTAGGATTGAGAAAAATTTGCCGCGCTCGATCGAACGAAAATTCACGATCAGTCGAGAATTTAAGTGAAAGCAATTGCCGCGGGCCTAACACGGCAGCACCTCGCGGCACGCACCGCGGGAAGCGCCGCGAAGCAAATTTCGGCCAATTAGCGCGTTCCGCGTGTACCCTCGCGATCAGGCGGTCGATAGCGTGATCGATGAGGGTAGCATTCCGTCGGGGACAGTCGTCGCGGAGAGAGAGCCGGCGTTGGTCGCAAGTCAGACCAAAGAATTCGCGTTACGGTGTAATAAGTGCGTGAATGTATTATCGCGACAAATACGAACAGATTTGCGCGGTATTGTGTGACATATCGAGAGTGAGAGAAGAGTTAACGGGTAATCGGATCTCGTTCGCGACGCAACATACACGTTCTCGCGACGAATTCGCCATTGTCTCGTGCATGCTACGTGCACGTGATCGAACATTACGAGTATTCGGATCCTGCTGGAGGATTCACTGCGATATTCGCGTATCGGTGAATGCATGTCGTGCATTCTCTCTCTCGCTCGTTCTCTCTCTCTCTCTCTCTCTCTCTCTCTCTCTCCCGCGCTCTCTCTCACAATTGTCGTAGTACGCCGTCGCGACGAACTCGCCGTCGTATTGTGCACGCTGCGTACACGTGATCGACTCCTGCGAATATTCGAATCCTTCTGGAGGATTCTGTGTGATAGTTAATTGCATATAAATGCACGTGATCGAACATTACGAATATTCGGATCCTGCTGGAGGATTGAATGTCACATAATTGAAGACAATTATTAAGTCGCGTCAAATCATATGTGCGCGTGTTCGATAAATTATAACGGTCGTCCACAAGAGGACAAATTTGTTGTTGTACGATTCGCGATCGTGACTTTCAAATAAGACATTGTTTTCTCTTGCGACAAAAAACATTGGTGTCGATATCGAACAAACAGTTTTTTCTTTTGTGATCGCGAGCTTCGAAACGTGTACAGCAAACGCTTTCGATTCTCATATCGAGTTTTTGTTCTTTTTTCTTTGATTGTTTGTGTCAAGTCCAGGTGACTTTCTGACATGTGAAATAATAAATTGATCGTTTTGTTCATCAACTTCAAGACTTCTTTTCAATTCGGCTTCCTACGTAAATCATCAATCTCAGCGCACACATGGGTGCGCGATCACCCTATTAAGATACAGTCCACTCAACAATTATCTATTGTCCATCCATCACATCTCTCATGAGATTCCTATGATTTCTTTCCAATAAAAAAAAAAGGGTGAAAGGAAGGATTGAGAGGCGGCGCGCGAGACGCGGCCCTAAAAAGGCCGCCGAGCATGCTCGTTCGCCGCAGCTTCGCGTCGGACCACGGTTCAAGCCGCGCGTTCGCAACAATATTAAACATATCAATATAAAGACATCATGTATTTATCAAATGAATAAAATTATTGAATACAGCACTTAAAAATTTATTAAACATAGACTTAAAAAATTAATTAATTAAACATATTCCAATTTAGAAAAAAAAAAAACTTATTTATATATGCAACAGCTTTTTAAACTAAATTTTTAAATTTATTTTATATTAGACAATTATCTCAATCAACATCTACGTCCACATTAGCTGCACTGCAGACTACCTCTACAGCCACATTATCTGCTCGCGGATATAGCGTTATGCCAATACGATACATTACATGTACTTACTTACTTGCCTTTACTGTACCAACTCTTGTCTTTCCCGTAATCATGTTTGTACAGTTATAGTTTGCTGTATATCTTCCAGCAAACTGTTTTCGTGTGAAGTGTATTTAATTAATTAAATCTCTGCGAAAGATTGAGAAGATGAAGGGATAATTCAACTATGAAGACATGGTTACATGGAAAAGACAAGAGTTGATACAATAATAAAGACATACATGTATTTGTATCCTGATGGCATAGGTTATAGAAGTGATTGAGATTGAAAAAATAATAATAAAAATAATAAAAAAAATAAAGACACATGTATTTGTATCGTGCTGGCATTAAAGGTATAAAAAGTTGATTGAGATTGAAAAACTAATAATAAAAATAATTAAAAAAGGAAATATTCAATCATCATTTAAAAGCCTATTTGAAAATCTGTAGAATAAACAGTTTTGCAAAAAATGTGGAGCATTTGAGCTCTAGTAAGTTAAAAATAAATGTAAAAATCAATTAATAATACTGAGGTTATTATATATTATGAATATAAAAACCAATTTGTGGCATTATTCACTATAAAAGGTTGTAAGGGTAAGATGGCTAAAAGTGAATAATTTAAAAGATAGTTAACATAATTTACATAAACTGAAATATTTCATAAAATAAAATATTTGTAATAGTTCGAAGTTTATGTAAGATTATGTAAAAAATTATACCTTTACAACTTTTTATAGTAAAATATGCGAGGAATCGATTTATATGAGAAAAATTAAGGTATTCTATTTTGAAAATTAAGTGACCCTTAAATACTTGAAATCGCGCCGTTTAGGAAAAAGTTCTGTGTCAAACTTTTTCTTTTTCGAAATCCTGCAACTTTTATCTAAATTTAATAGAAAATGTATAAAAAATGCTCGACATTAGTACACACACACACACACACACACACACACACACACAACACATATGGGTAAATTTATTAAAAGGGTGCTTTAGGAGGAATGATCAGGATTCTAGGATATGATTGTACACATCATTTTAAGCAAAGAAGTTTAGATAAACATGTTAATAATTGTTCTATTCGGTCATAAAACTATACAAAAACATGATGATATAATCTCTAAAAACTCACCTTTAAAAAAGGTAAAAAGGCGGCCAGTTAAGGGCACGCCATTAACAAACATTATCATTGCAAAACCCATGTAGAATCGTACCCATTGCAAACCATGTAGAATCCTATGAAAAATTAAACATTGCCAACTCATGTAGAATCCTATGAAAAATTAACATTGCCAAACCTGTAGAATTGTATTAAAAATTATCCATTGCAAACTTATGTAGAATCCTACATTGCAAACCATGTACAATAGAATTGTATGAAAAAATTATCGATATAAACCCATGTACAATCGTAACAAAAGTAATGAAATAAAAAAAAAATTGCGCCAGTGAAAGTAGAAACTTGTACCAGTGGAAAATTAAAGTTGCAGACATTATAGAGTCGTATAATGAATCAGTAAAAATTTAATTTGCAAATGTAGAATCGTACCATAAAAAAACTTATCTTTTAAAAAAAAGATAAACAAGATGCCAAGCCATGCGCCATGTGAAAAAGAAATAAAAAATTTAGTTAAAAAAACTGGGAGCGCTGCTAAATAATATTCTAAAATATTAAAATTAAATTGTTACTTTTTAAACTCATTACAGTTAAAATATGTTTTATGTTAAATTAATTAATGTACTTTAAGATGCATTGTAATTTTTGAAACTTAGCAGCGCGCCCAGTTTTTTAACTAATTGCTTTATTATTTTTTCACTGGCGCATGGACTTGGCATATGGTTTATCTTTTTTTTTTAAAAGATAAGTTTTTTTATGGTACGATTCTACATTTGCAAATTTAAATTTTTACTGATTCATTATTACGACTCATATATGTCTGCAACTTATTTCCACTGGTACAAGTTTCTACTTTCACTTGGCGCCAATTTTTTTTTTATTTCATTACTTTTGTTACGATTGTACATGGGTTTATAATCGATAATTTTTCATACAATTCTATTGTACATGGGTTGCAATGTAGGATTATTCAACATAAGTTTGCAATGGATAATTTTTAATAACAATTCTACAGGGTTTGCAATGGTTAATTTTATAGGATTCTACATGAGTTGCAATGTTTAATTTTTATAGGATTCTACATAGGTTTGCAATGGGTACGATTCTACATGGGTTTGCAATGGATAATTTGGTTAATGGCGTGCCCTTAACTGGTCGCCTTTTTACCTTTTTTTAAAGGTGAGTTTTTAGAGATTATTTTTATACAAGGGAGCGGGTTCGACTGGATGATAATTTAGATGGCTCTGAGATAAACAAAATAAATTCAATAATAGGAATATTCGTCCGATCCAATATTACACGTGTACGAAAGAATTTCTTCAAGGCCATGTGAGTCAGGGCCGTTCTCAGTCTCTCAGTGTTTCCTTGAACCCGA